CACATAAAAGTTTTGATGGGCAGGGTCTAATCTGCAATTTGCTTCTTGAGAGATGTATGTAAATCCTTTGCCTGGGGCATTTTGTCTCTCTGCTCTTCTTCACCCTCTATTAAGGGACCCCCCCCCAACCCTCCGGTATTTTAATTTAAAAAGATGAATAGTTCAGACCTTACAACTGCCTCACTACCAAGGCCAGGATCGGAACACAAGTCTGAGGAAAATGACACGTGGGATTTCCAAGGGAGGCTGGGACAGTGGCAAACCCAGCCATTTCTGAGAAATCGCCTGGATTGGAGTCACTCCCAGAACTCTGATTTAGCAGCGACTAACCCTAGAACTAGGCTGAAAGGAACACAAATCTGTTTGTATACACAAATAAATCCCCCTGAGCTGCGCACCACTCTCAGCCAGCCAGCTTCATCTGGCTGCTCCAGAAACTGTAATCCAGTGGTGCGCTGGTTACCCCGTGTACGGGGAGTGTGCTGTGCTGATGACTGAAAAGCCTGCTTCCGCAGCTAGCCGGGTTTCTGCAGAAAAGGCAGAGGCGAGGGTTTTCCTGTGAAGAGATCATGCCACCGAGCTTCCACCTTCCAGATGGTCACAGCTGTATGCTCATCGCTCCAGCTTCAGTGATGTCCCTCTGGAGCCACTAACAGCTGCAGCTGACCTTTTCAGGAAGAGTCAACCTAGAGGGAGCCTTATAATCTGCACCCACACTTCACATGGATGTGGAACGGTTGTTTTAGTGTAGAAATAATCTTCCCCAGGGACGAGCATACCTGCTTATCTGGTAACAAATGGTCAGCCCTGAAAACATACATACACGTAACAATATGTAGACTGAGCAGATTATATTTAGAATATATATGTATGTGCATGTATTCATACAATAACAATTAATGAAAAAAAAAGACCATGAACTTGAAAGCAAGCAGGGAAGAGTATATGGGTGGGCTTAAAGGGAAGAGAGAAACGTTGTAGTTTTATCTGTTATTTGTTTTCATATTTGTATTTTATATTTTAATATTTATATTATAAATATAATTGTATTTGTGGAAATGTGTTTTATATAGATATATAAATGTATTTATGAATTATTTTATGTTTCTGTACTTGTAATTGTATTTGTTATTACAATTGTTTATTTAGTGTTTATGTGTGGGAACATATGTTGTCACAGCACACACATGAACATCAAGGGCCAACTGTGGGAGTCAATTTTCTACTTGTACCATGTGCATCCCAAATATTGAACGTGAGTCATCAGGCTTTGCCAAAAACACCTTTACTCATTATGCCAGATAGTTTTATGTCAACTTAACACAAGCTATCGTAATCTGAGAGAACAGAACCTCAATTAAGAAAATGCCTTCAAAGGATTGGGTTGTTAGAGCATTTTTTAAATTAATGATTGATGGGGGAGGACCCTGCCCTTTATGGGTAGTGCTATTCCTAGGCTAGTGGCCCCGGTTTCTATAAGAAAGCAGGCTGAGCCAACCATGAGGAGCAAGCCAGTAAGCAGCACCTCCTCATGGCTTCTGCGTCAACTCCTGCCTCAAGGTTCCTGCTCTGTATGAGTTCCTATTCTGACTTTCATAGATGATAAACAAGGACGTGGAAGCATAAACCAAATAAAACTTTTCCTCCCCAAATTGCTTTTGGTCATGATAACCCTGACTAAGAAAGCCAGCAAGCCTTCTTACTGGCCCATTATTAGAAAATTCTTAGCCATAAATTTTATTTTATTTGTAATGAACACTTACAAACTGCTAACTGTGCACCAGTTAATGGTGTAGGGCTTTACAGGTGACATCACTTATAACTACCTTAACTGTATACAACATATTATCGTGTTTGTTGTACAATAAAGAAATCAAGGCACCAGGAGGGTGAACCCAGGCCAAGGAGATCGGATTTAGACCTAGGCAGCATGACTCTTAGGGTCCACAGTTTTTTTTTTTTTTTTTTGGTATTTCGAGACAGGGTTTCTCTGTATTGTTTTGGAGGCTGTCCTGGAACTCGCATCGTAGACCAGGCTGGCCTGGAACTCACAGAGATCCGCCTGCCTCTGCCTCCTGAGTGCTGGGATTAAAGGCATGCACCAACAACAACCGGCTTTAGGGTTCACACTCTTAAAACTATCCTAGGTAACCTAGAAAATGAGAATTCTAGACCACAAGGGACTTAGGGTTGAAGTGGCACCTAATTAAAAGCCAGAAGTTTGAAGATGAAAAAAATGAAATTATAACATTACATTACTGTTGTAGAGTCTTTTACAGAATTTCTAAAGCAAAGGGAAGATGTCTTAAGAACTAAGAATGAATTATATAGCACAAAACCTGTTAGAACTGGGCAATTCTTTTAAAATAGCTTGGGTTAGCTTATTTTACACATTGGATGAACATCACCAACTTTACTCTGGAAATTGCTGCCTTCAGAGCAACTATTTCGAATGAGGCAATACATAAAACAAGATAATGAGTTTAACTGTGTTCACATAATGTGAGATATTCTCTCTCTCTAAATTTATATATATATACATACATGCATACACATAAGTACATATATATATATATATATATATATATATATATAGAGAGAGAGAGAGAGAGAGAGAGAGAGAGAGAGAGAGAAGCAAACATGGGCCTAAGGTGTCTTTTGCCCCTGAAGTGCAGAGTCCCAGAGCTAATTCTCCCTTTCCCGTCTTCCTTACCAACTGTTGTCACCTGCTCATCCTCTGCTCATCCTCTGCTCATCCTGCCTCCCAGCACATCTGGAAGACAGTCTCTTTTCCCTCTTTTCCCCATCACCAGGCTTGGATTCTGCAGCTGTCATCAACTGCATCTCTTACAGTAGCAGTTCTCAACCTGAGGGTCACAACCCCTTTAAGGATCAAACAACATTTTCACAGGAGTTACATATCAGATATTTACATTATGACTCACATCAGTGCAAAATTACAGTTAAGAAGTAGCAATGAAACAATTTTATGGTTGGGTCACCTCAACAACAGGCACTGTTATGAAGGGTCGAAGCATTGGGAAGGTGGAGAGCCACTGTCCTAAAGCATTAGGTGAGCTCTTTCTCGTCTGTGTTCCAACTTTCTCCTGGGGCTGTTTCTATCCAGGCCCCCACAAGTCTCACCTTGCATTCCTTTGGTCTCCTTAGCCACACTAACACTTGGCTTGCCTGGCCTAGTCACTCCAGGCTTGGCATTCTTCTCCCTACCTCAGATCTCCGCAAGTGTTGTCCTGACTTCCTTCAATGATGAACAGTGTAAGCCAAATAAACTCCTTGTACCCCAAGTTGCTTTAGTCAGGGCATTTCATCACAACAGTGATAACCCTAACTAGAGCAATGGGGCTCTGGTGGAAGCCTGGGGCGTAGATGACCTGTGTAGATGCTCACTGGTGTAGGAGTATTTCCATACTCCATGGGTGCCTTGCTGGGTTTGTGAGGCAGGGCCAAGCTTAGCAGTTCCTACTCATTCCACCTTCTCCACGTAAATATTATTTAGATGAGCAGAGTTGAAACTGAGCATGGAGAAGGGAGAAGAGAAACTCTGTTGGTGCTCTCATTGTCCCAAAATGAAAACCATCAAGTCAGAGAGAGGCTCTGCTGAACGTTCTCTACTATCCCTCACTTATGATGAGGCCGAGTGTGTCTCATTTTCTTTTAACAGGTTTGACTCTCAAAGGTAATTCTCTTTTCAGTTGAGTAAATATGTATTGAGCCATGGTCTAGGCAAAGGGAGGGACTGGGCTGAGCCAAAATGATTAGGCATCACTGTGAACGTGGATTTAATGGAAAAAACAGAGCATCACTCAGAATATGTCAGAAACCATGCTATCAGGAGGGGCCAAGGGCTATGAACACATAGAGAAGATGCAGCCTTGGTGGAGAGGTTGGGAATTTCCACGGCAAAGCCACTTCTGCAATCCACTCCTGGGATCCACTTCTGGGATCCACTCCTGAGATCTGCCTCAGAGAGGAGTGAGGGGAGAGGCAGCAAGAGGGAGACTGCAGATTATAGTATGAAACCTATGCATCTGGGGGATTTGGATGAACATCCTAATGGTGAGTGGGTCTTAGAGATGAAATGTGGTGTGTGTGTGTGTATGTGTGTGTATGTGTGTCTGTGTCTGTGTCTGTGTGTGTGAGAGAGAGACAGAGAGAGACAGAGATAGAGAGAGATGAAGATGAGGATTAGTGTAGGATGGCTTTAGAAAGCAAATGAGCTTTTTGCAAATTGTCAAGTGCACAGCAGATGTTGGATTCAAGAATTTTCACATCTCATTTCATTATACTTCACACCAGTTCATACTTTTTGGCTAAGTTTATTTTAACACAATTAAAAGCAATGTATAAATGCTAGAAAATGCATTTTCATTTTCACATGTGTTTTCCTCAGTTTGGAAATATATTTTAAACTTTGGAGGAGGATAAAGTAGAGAAAATAAAGACCAAATATCTAGCTTTTTTATTTTGAAAACACTTTAAATCTTTGTCAACAGCTAAAAAGTTGAGCATTTCAGCTTTTTGACCAATAAAGAGTAAAATATAACTAAAAACACACTTGAACTATGAAGGATGAGCTGTACATGGTAATGCCTACCCTGTATTCTCAGTACTAGAGTGGCTGAGGCAGGAGAATTGTGAGTTCAAGGTTATTCTAGACTATGTAATGAAAACTAGCATAATAAAATAAAATTAGGAATGACTAATCAGGTTAAAAGAAAAAGTTTTCCTTCCTAGAGAAATTTCATTGATATTTATTTGCTGTTATTGTTAGCAATAGGATGAAAAAATATACATTTTAGATTATTTAAATATTGTTTTACACAATAGTGTATCTATAGATTTCTAATGTTATATTTTCTTATTTTGTTTTTTCTTATTTTTTAATAGCATATCAATATAACCTTCATACAACCTTTGAAAACGTACTATACGTATTTTGTAAACACATGTCTAATTTTACTTTTGTCTTTCTTTGGCAGATGACATTTGACCCAGAAATATTCTTCAACGTTTTACTGCCTCCCATTATATTCCATGCAGGATACAGCCTGAAGAAGGTAAACTTAAAGAGTGAACCCCTCTCTTACCATTAAGTAGAGAATTTTGCCAACATTAATGAGAAGTAGTTATATTTTATGGGATTTCCAATTAAGTAAGAACAGCACTGTGTAGATCATGCAATAAATGTTTAACCCTGACATTCTTGGAATTCTTTTAAATCTATTAAACCTGCACCAAGGGTTTGGTCACACATAGCTAATGAGCACTGAGCACTGTGGCTTGTCTAAAAGTGAGATACACTGTAAATGCAACATGTACATTAGATATTAGTCTCAGCATTTTAAAAAAGAATGTAAATCATTTCAATATTGTTCTATACTGATTTCGTAAAGAAACTGTAGCATTAGGAATATACTGTGTTAAACAAAACATTAACAAACTTCATTTCACCTTTTAAAAGCTTATTTAATGTGCTCCCCTAGGAGACCTGTAAATGACATATGTGGCCTGTGTGATTTTCCCGTTGAACAGTGTTATTATAGATGACTGTGCCCCAAGAGCTCACATACTGGTTCACACAGAGTTTATCACTAGGGGGTAAAGTCAGAAAGACTGTAGTTGTCCTCAGAGAGAGCCACGGTTTTCAGTCATTGAGCCTGACTGTCCATGTCACAGGTTAGTCATTCACTTAGGTGGCTAGTGCTGTGCCACCTAAGTGGCAGAGGCAGGGGCAGAGCAGGGCAGAGAGTCCATGATGCTCTTCTGCTGTCTAGACACCACCTTGGAGACCTCCAGGGCTCATCTCTGTCTCCCTTTGGCCTGCCATATCCAGCAGCTAGGCAGCTTCTTCACAACAGACCTGGAGGGATTTTTGTTGTTGTTTGGTTTTTGAGTTTCCGGTTTTGTTGTTTTGTTTTGTGGACTCCAGGCTCCCTCTGGCTGCCAATTCTGTCTGTTCAGCTCTCACTAACAGTCTGGAAGGAAGTATTCCTTACTAAGCATTTGAAAGGATTCAGGTTAGATTTTTACAGGTCATCTTTCCTCATACCCTACCTACCTCAGTACTAGGCATCATTTCACATATGAGTCGTAAAGTATCTGTTTACATAGGATTTTAATGTTTGATTGCATCACATTCTGAAGATTTGTGATGGAGAGAACTCAGACTATTCTATGAATATTTCATGAATATTCATTTAAATTACTTGGAATAATATTTTAAAAGATAAATGTGTTATGTCTACAAAACCCTTCTTGACAACTGTGTCTGATTAAGTAATTGTCCCAGAGCCCCGGCCATTCACAGCCCAGCCTGTTCTGTCTTCTGGGGTTTTTATCGGCTCCATAGGTCATCTTTCCCCTGTCATCGTCATACAGATTTTTTTCATTGCTTTTCTTTTTTCCTTATTCTTTGTGGAGAAATCACTTACTCAGCTTCACACCCATGTGAAGTAAATCCTGGATGAGGCTTCCAGAAGATTTGCTTAAATAATAAGAGATCGGGAGGCTGTGAGTGGCCAGGCTTATATTTCCTGTTTCAGTAAGAACTGCAGATGTACTCTATGAAATATTTTCTGTTTCTCCCCAGAGACACTTTTTTCAAAACCTGGGATCAATTTTAACATACGCCTTCTTGGGAACAGTCATCTCCTGTGTGGTCATAGGGTAAGTGACCTTCAGAATCTGAGCTCTAGGTGACTGGAGGGCAGCAATCTGGGACAGGATCCCAGACTCCTGGACTCTTACTTCTTGGACCAAATGTGGTTTTCTTTCTACTGCATCACTTTTGGGTTTGTTGCACTCAATTTGTGTTTTAGCTGTTCTGTAGCGTAACCATGTAACAGGTTAGACAAGTCTCCTGCCACTGAGTACCAGGACATCACAGACCCAGGACATCTTGTCTTCATAGATTTCTTCCAGCCCTGGTCCAACACATCTATATCTTCTGATAAACATAAGGCTTTAGAGCAAAGCAAACTGCTACTGGGTGGCTGGATTTTCTCTGTGAGTTTCTCCTTCCGATTTAGGTGTGTGGACCACTTGACCTCAGCTAATCGAAGTCAATCACATTCTTACTTAGCTTGAGTAATGTATATGATCTCAATGCATTTTTCCCCACCATCTTTGTAGGGCCTTACCTATATTTGACAAAAATATAACAGTAGCTATATACCAAGGGTTTTATTCTGAAGAAAAATTTATAAGCAAGAAGTTTGAAACAAATAACTTCAAATATCAGCAGATCGTATACGGCTGGGGTGGCTTTCAGGTTGATGCAGTGTAGACTGTGATCCTCTTTTACCACTCAATATATTTATTGGTTATGCTTCTGGTCCAAAGTCTAATTGCAGCAACTCTGTCACACAGCTCTCCATAAAGCGAAATAAGGTCCAACATGGTGAAACGTGTCCAGTCTACTATGACATGAAAGTCCCCATTCAGAAAGATGTTGGCCTGCTATGACTGTGATGATGCATCTGTCTTAAACTGTGAGACACACCAACTCTACTTGTGAGTTTTTTCATGCCTGCAACATCTATCATCCCTCTCACCAAGAATGTGATGCCGAGCATGCACACCAGTCATGCCTCCAGCCCTTCTTTTACGAGGTGTTCAGTGTGTACCAGCCAAAGCTGAGGAGGTGTCAGGGCTCTATGCAAACCTGAAAGCAGGGAGTCTGCACTGAACACTTGTTTAATCAAAGTTAGAACAACGGAGCTCTACAGTCTGTGAAAATGTGCAGCATGGTTTAGGTGTTGAAGCAGCCAAAGACTTTTTTAGTTCCAGAGAGTGGAAGCTTCTGTGAATGAAAACTTGTCACATCCAGACTCTCGAGTGGTCACTAAACTGTCTGTGACAGTATGCCTGGTCCTTCCCAGTGTTCTGAGAGGCCTTCACGACCTGTGTACGTGTGTGTGCAGGAGCTCCATATGTAAATTTTGAGACTGTTAAGGGCCTCAGTGATCTACATCATTAAACCTGCTCAGTCTGAAGAGGAACTTGAAAAGCTAAGTAATTAGGCCAGTGTTATCATCAGTGAGAAACAGGGCCATGGTCAAGACAGAACTTGAAAGCTTAGCTCCTGACCCAGTAGAGTGTGCTTTTGACTTCCCTCAGCCTATACACCGTGCCACACCCACAGAGGGCTCTCAGATATATGGCCTAGTGACAGGTAATTGTTGGTTCATAGCAAACATCAGCTTTAGCAGTTGTGTGTCATTAGGATCTGAATTTTATAATGGATAAAGTTCCAAGATGACGAGGCAGTACTTAATTATAGTACAACTCGTTTTCATTAATATCCTGTATCCTCTGTACATCTAATTTTAAGTATATATATATATATATATATTTTATACTTTCATTTCTTAAAAAAATCCCTATTCTTTCTTAGATATGAAATAGTTCATAGAAAGTAAAGGGAACCATACCTCATGTCCATGAAATAGCTTTTTCCAGACTATTTCAATTTAAGAGATACGGTGATTTTCACTTATTGCAACTAAGAATTAGTTTTTGTGGGGGGAAGGGTCACTGTGTAGAAAAACCTGGCCTCACCCTTGTCACAATCCTCCAACCCCCCAAGAGCTGAGATCCAGGTGTGTTTCACTGTACTTGGCTTCTTTTAATGAATGTTATATGCATAACCAGAAATTTAAATAGTGACTTGAAGAAAAGTGTAGTTCTGGGAAAATCTTCAGAAAATGTTACTTTGTTTAAACTGTGAATGATAGGAGTCACAAAATCATGCAGGTTGATTTACCTTTTATTTTTTTGAGATTTTATACACAAGTACTTTATTTAATCTTTTGTAAGTCTCTCCCGACTCCAACTCCTCCTGTGTCTCTGCATCTCCTTCTCAAGTTCCTGACGTCTTCTTCTTTATTGGTTCACATATGCACATATGAATAGATACAGGCTGCTACATCCACTTAATGTTGCTTGTATGTCTATGTGTTTAGTAATGACCACGGGAGACTTGGTAACCTATCAGAGGCTTGTCCGTGGAGAAGACTGAATCTCTTCCCCTAGAAGTGTGCCCTGTGAGATTTACCCCATTTGTGTTGGCATGCTAACTGCTGTTGTAATTGTATAGGGCTTATTTAAGTGACCATAGTTTTTAGATTCTATGGGTGTGACTTCTCATCATAAGACACAGCAGGTGTCCTAATCCTCTGGTTCTTACAATCTTTCCCCCCCATATTTTACAAACTTCCCTGAGCCTCAAGTGTGGGAGTTGTGTTGTAGATTTATCTGTTGGGCCTGTGCATCCCACAGTTGATCTCTGTGTTAGAACAAGTTGTAGATTTCTGTAATGGCCTCCACCTGCTTCCTTGGTGAGGAATGAGAACCACACTCATCTGTGGGTATAAGGTTAAGTATTTAGAATGCAGTTAGAAGTTACACTGGTTTAGGAAGGTAGAATAAGAAAGAGGAGTAGATTCTTCTTTAAAGACCATGACATCACCAGCCATGCCTAGCCAGCTAGGTTTACAGTACTAGGCATTAATTCCATCCTATTGAGCATGCCTTAAGTGTAATAAGAAAGCTGTTGAGTAGTCCCAAGATAGAAGTGTCACTATTGCACCATTGGGTAACAGTGCCATCCCAGTCACTGTTGTGAATCAAGGCCTTATAGATAGTTGGGCTACTGTTCGATTTTTCCCTTGGCATCTTACATAGCATATTTTGGTACTACTAGAGCAAATTCTTAGGAACAAGGCTTTCACATAAGATCCAGTAGAATCATTCAAGTCCTGTGTCTGAAGTATGTGAAATCTTTAGCAATAGAGACTTATGTTCAGATTCTGGGAGGCAACTAAAATACAGTGTAATGCCTGTATTATTTATGGGGTGTCTCTTGGACTTCCTTGACCAATAACTCAAAAGGAAGTTTCTCATGCCTGGGACTATGATTATTTTTGTTAGGTAGTCTATGACCTTGGAGGGGAACATTATCACCCCAGGTGGCATAACTTCATTTAAACTCTGTGTGCCTGCATGTCTGTGCGCACATGCGCTAGTGTGTGGGGTGTGTGTATGTGTGTGTGTGTGTGTGTGTGAGTGTGAGTGTCACATACCATGTGGACCTCAGAGGATAATATATAGATAGATATACGTTCTTTTCTTCCGCCATGTGACTTTCGAGATTAAACAGAGGTTGTTGGGCTTGATGACTTGATGGCTTGATGGCGAGCACATTTATTCACTCAGTCATCTTGCTGGCCCAAGATGCTTTTTATAAGAGCAATGAGACTGGTATTCTTCTTAATTTCTCTGTTAATGGAGAATTTAAACCAACTGTGCAATACCAGAAATATTTATAGAAAACTAATATTTTGAATTTGTGCTGACATAAGCTTCTCATATGTGTTCTCTCATTTCATTGCTGTGATAACCTCATGAGATAACCACTGTTGTTACTTTCATTTATGTACAACCTTGCCAAGTCTGAGGTTTTCCCAAAGCTACACAGTAACTAAATAGTGGTAAATGGTAGAGGGTGCCAGACGCCAGAGTGTACACTCTCAGCTGACTCTTATCCTCCTAACACAACCCGTTACAGTCCTTGTGTTTTACACTGAGTTACTGCACCTGGCCAATAGACCTTTCATGGTTTCAAATTCAAACATTTATCATTATAACTAATGATTATGAAATCTGGGTATTTAAGAATTAGCTGAAATTATGATTGCATAGAGGAAATTGAATCTGCCTTCTCTCTCTAGAGGCAGCTAGGAGGAAGATAGAATATACTTTACTAGACTCTTGATAATTCACTCAGGTCAACCTGTATTTATAAATATGATGTTATTAACATTATTCGTGCCAACATTACTCAGGACTGATTTCCACATAGGAATCCCTATTATACACAGAATATTAGGATGCCCTGAAGCCTTGTCTATGAGGCACAATCCTGAACAGGGTTTTGTGGATGCTTGTTGCTGCCCTCTGAGTAGACATGGCTGCTCACCTGGGAACCTTTAGATCCCAGTAGCCCCCCAAATACTGACTCCTTAACCCTAAAGGAGGGGCACATCAGTCATTCAGAAGCTAAATGTGACGTTGGCAGCTCAGCGGGTGAAGCTGAGATGTATTCATGTCTTTAAGCTCCAACCCTAGGAAGAGAACTAATTCAAGTTGAGCTCTCAACTTGAGGAACAAGAACCCTGAGGTCATGCACAAAGCCTTCAGGGAAGAACGAAGGTCTTTAAGTTGGTTGTGAAGTTTTATAGGTGAGAGCCTGCACAGATTTTTACCATTTCATCAGATCCTCTTGGGAGCTACAGTCTGTATGATAGAAAGGAAAGAACGAAAGAACGAAAGAACGAAAGAAAGAAAGAAAGAACGAAAAACGAAAGAAAGAAAGAAAGAAAGAAAGAAAGAAAGAAAGGTGGATGGAAGGAAAGAAGGAAGGAAGGAAGGAAGGAAGGAAGGAAGGAAGGAAGGAAGGAAAGAGCCCTGCTTTAAAAGCCCTGACAAAGACAAAGCTGCAACAGTCAGAATTTTATGTATCTCTGTATTTAGTTAGGATGGGAGACTAAGAGTGGCTATAAAGTCTGGAAATACACATACTATCATTTTATCTTGTGTGGCAAGGTAGCAACAATAGCGTAGTCATTATGCATTTTTTTCCTGGGCTTGATGGCTATCTGTCCTAT